GACACCCTGAGTCACTTACACTATTCATGTACTTCAATGATCAAAATGTCACCAGCATAGGGCTAGTAGAAATTTGGTGAAATGCACGTACCTTAAATAAGGTGCGCTAGGTTAAGTCAAGCACGTGGGAGGCAAATAAAACGCTCCACTGGAACATGCATTTTGAGTTAGTTACCCCATTAATGGAAGGTCTGGACCCTTATCTATAAGGGATCAGCTTCAGACCACTTAAAGAAATCATTAGGATTGCCAATGGATAGCATGATTTCCCCTGCACTCGTACTAATTCTGCGCGCCCGTAGGAGTCAAATGACTAGATTAAGCTAAGCAGCCATCCGTAGAATTAATTCTTGTCTCTGCCAAAAAGGGCACCCGCTTTTAATTAAAAATGGGGCTGAGCTTCGAAAAAAAGCCTTGATAGTTCGATGCTGGCCATATATCATGTCCTTCATGGAGGCAGGCAGCAGTGACAGATTCGTCGCGGTGGGGCGCCAGGGAATGGCAAAATGACTGACTCAAACAGCGCTTCCAGGGTTCCGGCGAGACCAGCGTCGATAGGAAGAATGATTTAACCTTAATGCCAATTGGTTTATTAAATCCACTAGCAGAATGAGGCACATATAGCGCCTGGGGGAGCGAATAGCAACGAACGTGCTGTGCCAGAAGTAACGAAGACAAAAATGTCGGACAGGCCATCAAGATTATGATAAAAGTAATAACTAGAACATCAATCACGGCCATAGCAGACAAGGGAATCACAAAGGGCGCATTTAGAACGAACCTGACGGAAGAGGCGGAAAGATACAACCAAAGTGGAAATCCCATCAAGATAATACCGACACCTGAAGTACTTAATAGCAAAACGTAAAATATTAAGTTACGCAGCACTGAGAAAACCCAACATAAAGTTGCGAAATAAGTAGCACGAAGGACCGCGGAACTAAATGAAGACTAGGATGAACGCCAAATGGACTCACGAGAAAAAAAATGTAGTGAGATAAAGATATTTTTTGATATACAATAGGCTGCAAGTTTGTTTAGTAACAAGATCCCAAACCTATTAGTTGACAAAAGCTTCATGCGCCATCCGATACCATACAATTTAGCGAATTAGAGATATAGTAGTTTACAAACGTCGTGCTAGGTAATATAATGTGAAGTACTTCTATCATCAAACCGCATCCCTTCTAATGCGGCGAAGGAAAGACATGGCATAAGTCCGAAGGCGAAAAAAATAGTTTTTAAGGATGAAAGAAGACAGAAGTCAAGTAGTGCTTGAGGAATGAAGCATCGAAGTGAATATATCAAGAAGCTTGTCAATGTTATTTCGGCTCAATATAGTAACGAGAGTTAGTTAGTATTGTTCCTTTGTTATTGATCATCACCGGCCTCTGAAGCCCAAAGCTGCAAGTAGGAAGAATGGATAAGTAACGCGAATGGATACAATATTACGAATTCATAAAAGTAACATACCGTTAAATTATCCCTAAGCAGTTGCATAATAAGAGTACTATCTTTGTAGGAGTCCTCACGCAATGTATCTATGTCAGCAATGGCATCGTCAAAAGCCTTTTTTGCGAGACTGCAGGCCTTGTCCGGGTCATTTTTTATCTCATAGTGGAAGACAGAGTAATTAAGTGCTAGACCAAGGCGGATCGGATGTGTTGATGGCATTTCTTTAATTGCCTTTTCTGTTGCACTTTCATAGGCGTCTTGGGAACTCTGCACCACTTGATCACGCTTTGTTCCAACAAGTACCTCAGCTAAATAGCGATAATAATCGCCTTTCATTTTGAGGTAGAAGACAACTCCCTCTGGACTACCAGCATTTTTAATCAAGTAAGAATCCAGGAGTGACTAAACCATAATGGATTAATAAATTTCAATTACCAAAACTTCTCTACATATCTCTTCCAGCTCGGTTTCGACTGTTTCGCGATAGGATTTGGTTAGGCTTTTCTTTCGTTCATTAGACTCAGTTTTTTGACCTATACTTGTTATAACTCGCCAAGAGGAACGACGGGCACCAACGACGTTTTTGTAGGCAACAGAAAGGAGATTGCGTTCTTCGTTGTTAAGGTCAAGACCAAGTTCGGTAACGACCTTCATTGCTGCTGCCATATCATCAAAGCGTTCAGCCTGCTCGGCAACTCTAGACAAGCATACTAATTGATCACGATCGTTAATACCACTAGTAACAACCCAGGACTTGGGAGAAGTCATTGTTGGGGGAAAACCGGGAAGAGAGTAACCGTGTTAACAGAGCGCCAAGTTCCTAAGAAAGATATGAACAACAGCTTAAACAGGAATAAAATTAAAATATTTTATAACTTAACATCAAAAATAAAATATATGATTATTTGTAAATAAATTTTGTAAAATTGTAAAATAATTTTATGTATTAAACTTATTAGTTTAATAATTATGTTTATTTTATATTTACTAGTTTGTCTAATTAGGTTGCTAAGCTAGTTTGACTGTGTAAATTTTGAGTTTTGATTATGTCTGAGTTAAGCCTACTAACTATTCGCACGGCAAATCAGGCAAGAGAAGCGGTAAGCATTTCTAATAATCTTATTCTAAGGATGAACAAAAATCTGAAATGCGTAAAAAGAATTTATTAATTTTGGTGATGCATTATCTAAGTGAAGAAGGGTAAGGCGCACTAATAAATATCGCTTATGTAAAGATATGTTGAATCGGCAGCCTCATTGTCTAAAGAGACTAATCTTGATTTTAAAAAGTATGACGTATGCGACAATGTTGACTTGGAAACAGTGCTAATGGAATACGAAAGTTATTATTTTGTAAAGTTTCATAAATATCCTAAAATAACAAAAAAAATAGGTTTGTTCATAGTTTAATTATTTTAAAAGACGAGCTTAAAAGTAAATATAAACAAATCAATAACTCTGATGATCAAATCAAAGTTAAAAAGTAAATATTCCATTTTATTGTTAAAGTATATTTATTTATTAGGCGAAATTCCCTCCTGCCTAAGATTCATTCACAAAAACAGCTGTCAAATAATGAAATATCCAATCAGCTGATACGGCCAAAATCTGGAGAAAATGCTGAGAGCAAAAAGGTGTTTTATTTTTATATTTATTATATGGATTTGATAATACATTTCACTAATAGGAGTTGTATGCTAAAAATTCGGATTGCTACTAAGTTATTATTTTATTCAACGATATGGTTAATAATAAAATTATAAAGCTTAATGTCCTTCATTATAAAAGTTATATCCCTCATTTTACAGATAATTCAATTCCACCACTTTTAATATTCTAATTTGAAATAAACATTAAGAAAATGTTTAATTTTGTCATGAAGAGTAGCTAAAATCCAAATAATCCCTTAATAGATTGATACTGGCATACCATTTATTTCGTTTGAGAAGGCGAGTGGCAGGGATTTGTAGATTGGCCTAACCGGATACCTTAAGAAGGTTGCCTCAGACTTTTATCTTTTGAATTGTGCGAAGAAGAACTCGGCTCACCGTGCCTCCGTGCTGGGCTTGCGGACATCGTATGAGCCAGAAATTATTATTTACTAACAATTATAAAAAAGCCTAAACCAAGAAAGGTGGTCAGCTGAGATCCTACTTACTCCCTATACCTCACTTTCCGATCTTAATAAGGCATTCCATGATCTCAAATGCATGTAAGCGGGTCAAATTGATGCGGTAAGAGGAGCGGATGTGGTCACAACTTTTTTCTATGTGAATAAACTAGTGTATAATTATGCAATCCTAGATCTTTTTAAAGATACGTGGATTTCATTACTCCTACCTTAACACAATAAATATTATTTAAGAATAAAGTAAGGAGGAAGCCCACATTTGCAGTCTTCCTATATGCATCTTTACCCAGTTTATGGCTTTCTTTAATGACTGGAACTTATAAAAAGGGTAGCTTGCTGTCCTTTCCTATCTCCATAGTAAATTTAATCGTCTTATCTACTCTATTCATTAACCCAAGGAAGTCTTCCAAACACATTTTTGCCATGCTCAGATAGCAGAGAAACATCCATGTATCTGACAAATAATTTCGGAACCTTGAGTGACTCTTGCGAAAGCCGGACATCCAATTAAGTCATGTAGTTTTTAGCTAAAACTGGAGACAAACATGATCCTATAGCTAAACTTCATGTTTTTTCATACAATTTAGCATTAACGACCAAATATTTACAATTCATTATTAAGTTCGTCAACCCCATTATTTACTCCTTGCTTGCCTTATTTCCTGATATCTAAGGTTAATCCTACAAGTTATATGGCTTTACTTCAGTTTTAGCTAATAACTACCTGATTCAATTGGATGTCCGGCTTTTTTAAGAGTCTCTCCTAGTTCCGAGCATGACAGAGGGTGTTGGAAAGATTTTTTTGGGTTAATGAATACAGTAGATAAAGCGACTAAATTTACTATTGAGATAGAAAATGACAGCAAGCTACCATTTTTATATGTTATAGTCATTACAGAAGGTCATAAACTGGGTAAAGATGCATATAGGAAGACTGCAAATGTGGACATGTGCACTGGGTAAATTTTGTAGTAGAGCCCTTGCTTCAACGACTACGTCTATGATCAAATTAATCTAATAATAGCCACCTATCTCTAGTATCTGCCGTCTCTCTTAATCTTTTATCCATAATGCCAAGTCTATGACATTTTTATGGCCTAGTTTCTTGTGTGCCAACTCCAAAATGTTATAGCTCTACTTGCTTTGAATAGGCTGACTGTAGACGTCTCCTCTTAGTTTTAGATTTTTCCTCTCTGGTCTCCTTGTACTTTCTTTCCTTAAAATTAAAAATATCACCTTAAACCAGTCCTCTCCTTTTTGCTGATATTGTTGTTCCCTGATCTTCTCCGAGTTCGTTTAGGCAGTATGCAAAGTTTTTGCTAACCCTGCTTTCTTCAAGTCTCCTGATAATTAGATTTCTTTCAGTCCGGATATCGATAACTTCTCTTTTCTTGCATTTTCTTGTATCTTCCCCATATGTAGCCTTTAACTTGGTGAATATTCCACATAGTGATAAGGGAATCTGCATCGTCAAGTTAGGATTCCATTTTCTTGAGATTCCAGACTTTGAGAGCTTGTTCACTGAGGCTGGAGGGTACGTGCTCTGCAAGAGCTGAAGACAGAGTGTATAACATAACGCCTCGAATAGCACGGATATGGTGGCAATGAACGAATGAAATCA